AAAAAATCAAAATTCAAGTACTAGGCAATTTAGGACAGGAAGGCCTGGTGCAATATGGTTCATGGGGTCACGAAGAGTCGGACACGACTTAACGACTAAACAACAACAACTGTAATTAATCCTTCAGCTGAAAATTCATTAGCCAGGAAATATGGGGCAAAATTCTTAAATATTTTAGGGCTTTTCCCACTGCTGAATGAAGTGTCACCTAGGGGTATATATAGAGCAAATCTCTCTGAGGGTCCCCTCCCCCAGTGATGAAAGAGCTAAGGTACTAACCTCCCTCCCCAAGCTGTAGCAACTGGGGATGGTTAGGAGAAAGGAAAGAGAAGGGTCACACAGCCATTTCTTCCCACTGCAGCAGCCTTGGGCCTGAGCCCTATGTGCAGTCCAGATATAGTATGCCTTCCTTTCACTAGGAAGGAGGAAGAGGAGAGTGAGAAGAAGACTGCAGCCAGCAGCAGTTGATGAGGAAATTGCCATGGCCTCTGAGCACGCTGCTTCAAGTGCATGCATACTGTGGCTGATCAGGAATTGCAGTAGAGGACATGGTAGCAGCAGCAGCTATTCTGTCACACATTCCCTTCTTGCTTCCCTCTGGCTCTTCTGCTACAGTTCCTACCAGGGCCCTGCATTTGAGCTACTGTATCTAGGCTGTAAAAATCTAAATAGCTACTAGATATGGCCACAAAGTAATATAGAAAACTCTAGCTCTTTGCTGCCATTTAATAGTCATCCAGATTTTTGCAGTCCACATCTGGTAGCCCTACCCTGCATGATCAGATTTATTGAAGGTTTGGGACAAGGAATGAATTGAAAGGGGTAGGTCAATGGGTCCCAAAATGGCTCTCCCCATCTCACAATATTAATACCACTTGTCCTGTGCACCTTTCCATGAGTTGGGAGAAAACTGTATAGCGTTATCAAGCTGATAACTTATATATAACGTGTCCTGCCAAATTGAAATTGTCTAGATGAGCTATAGTGATCTGAGAAGAAAATTTGAGAAGAGGCAACTTCCTACACTATATAACCATTTGGATTAAATTAGCCCATATATCTTTAGAATACCACATAATTTCTTATCTTGGAAAACACAGAAAAATCATAGAAATAGGAACAACTTTCCTTTTTGGAGATCATAAAATACTGGAGCTTTATTATGCAATTCCACATATGTTTATTCAGAAATACAATGGAGTTCAGCAGTTTTTACTCGCAGCTATTTCCAGGATTGCAGCCCTCATTTGATCAGTGAAGTCAATGAACTGGCTGGGAAGCCTTGATTTTTGGAACAAGGGATCTAAAGGTCTTAAAATATTACTAAACATTTACTTAAATTTGGCAAACTGACCCTCACAATGTGCTGATGTAGCACAGGACTAGAAGGGCTACATAGGAGGAAAAAACAAAGTAGATTTATCAAAGTAAATATATTAAATGATATTGGACACTTAAGTTTATATATTTCAAGTACTGTAATTTAATTAAGTAATTTAAATATTATAATTTAGTTAATTGATTTTATAATAGAACTGAATCTTGTATGTTAATTGAATCAACATTTTATATGTGAGAATAACTTTTGAATAACATTTTTCTTTTTGCATCTTAATATAAATATTAAATAACTAACATATTATTATTTGCTTGCTATCAACAGAATATCAGCTATAGAAATCGGCTTCTCTTTTCACAATTTGAGAAGGAAACTGCTTCAAAAGTTACTTTTTTTATTGAAGAATGGCCTTGACAGCTTTTCAAATACCAGCATTGCTTCTTATTTTTATGGGTTTTATATTTTTACTTGTTACTACTGTATCCAGCAACTGGAAAATATCTAGTAGAGTCAATACTACAAACTGGAACTATGAAGGTCTGTGGATGAATTGTGAAGCTACTTCACTGGGTTCCTTTCAGTGCAACACATTGTACTCCCTGTTAAGTTTAGACAGTAAGTTGTGTTTTTCATATATAAATGATGGATTGCTATCTTGTTTCTAACAGCATGAAGTTGCAATATGGTTATTTAATATTATATGTTAACAAAATACATGAAAGAATATTTATATTCTTTATATATATACCCTATAGAAATTAACTTTTCATAGATTAGAGTAAATTCTCTGATTTAATACTGGGTTGACATTATCTGTTACTGAAAACATTGGCAGTGTTGGAAACAACATATAGAAACAATATAGTCTGCCTTCATTTGATTCATGTCAGCACTGCCAATAGATAGAGAGTAGAATTATATACACACTCTGTGGCTTTCCTTTTCTTTAACGTTTGAACATGCATGTGCACCAGTCTCCCTATATTTTGATACCTTTCCCATATGCATGTTTCTGCTTTGCATATTTTATTGAATTCTTTAGTATGAGATGCTAGAAAAGGCATTAATCATTCCATCTTTAATAAACTCTAAAAGTGTCCAGAAGTTAAATTTCAAAGAATTTACATTTCTATAAACATTAAAATTGGAATACTTCATGGGAACCACTAGGGCTATTAAAAATATATATTTGCTTTACTATAGAAAAATAAGAAAAAATGAAAAAGGGGAGAGGAAAGGAAAAAAATTAAAAATTCCAAAAGATATCACAATAAATATAGAAAAAAGATAATTTTTAAACTCTCTCTTGATCACACAGTGTAATATTGATCAGCCTCTCCATTATTTTGATAGAGGGCAATTCATAAGTAGAGAATGAATACGCATCAATCCATTATTATAAATCTGGTGTGAAGTTGTCTTTTCGTAATAGAAAAATAATCTTCAAATCATATGATTCTTCCCCAAATCCTATGAACAAACTTATGAATATTTGACCAGAATAAGACAACTGTTAGACAAGCTCATATTATATGTGTAAGTGTCCCCTCCATCGTTTTACACTTCCAGCATAATGAAATTAAATATTCTCTGAAATATCTAATAAACATGAAAAAGTATTTTGCTGAATTAGTCTTAAGAAACTTATATAATAAATGTATAACGAATATTCATCTGGACGATAATCTTAGACAATTAATTAGACAATTTAAATTACTGTAGATTTGGAAAAATCCAAAACATGTTTCAGTGCTAATAATAATTCAGGAGTTTTAAATGCTAGTAATGCATCTGGGACAAATGTTGAAATCAAGACATTTTAATTGAATATATTGCCTTTCTATACTTTTAGACAGTTCAAATTCCTTCTGCCAAATTTAAAAGCTTGATTGGCAATAAGAAGGTGTAAAGTATAAATACTCCAATTAGCCCATAAATTCCAAAAGAATCTGCAATTTTTCACGAAGTGTAAATTTACTATGAAAAGCAGCCCAAAATTATAATTCTGTCCCAACACTTTCCAAATATTTTTGCTGCACTTAATGCTAGAAATATGACTGAATTTTGAAAGCAGTGAAACTTACTTCCTAGTGAATGTGTCTCAGATTGAACTGTAATACATAATTTAGAGCAGAGTCTGGCATTTCATAAGCATCAGCTCCAAGTATTTTTTTATTTGTTTATATTTAAATTTATATGGCCACCCATCTTAAATGCATGACTCTGGGCACTAACAGCTGTTAAACATACCATATAACAGTCTATAACAATAAAAAGAATACATAATTGGCAACCAAGATAAAACAAAGAAAAGGACAAATCAGCATAACCATTGTACAGGCTTTGTCATACATCTGGATCCCCACGCTTGGTGACAAACCATGTCTTTAAAGCCTTGTAAAAGGCCAGCAGGACCAGGGCCAATCTAATCTCTGGGGGGGGAGGTGACGCTCCAAAGGGCAGGTGCCATGACAGTGGATTCTAGTCCTGCCAGATGACATTTCCTAATAGATGGGGCCCAGAGCACACCTTTACTGCCAGAACTGTTGGGACTAGTAGACATAATTGGGGAGAGGCGGTCCCTCAAATAACCTGGTCCCATGCCATGAAGGGCTTTGTAGGTAACTACCAGCACATTGAATTGAACCCAGAACATACTGGCAACCAATGCAGCTCTCAGACCAGAAGTTTATCATGCACTCATTGAGAAGCATAACTGCCTGCCCCACTGCATTCTGTATCAGCTGCAGCTTGAAAGGTTGATAATCTGCTCAAAGACCTTCTGGACATTTTTCAATATTGACTTAGAAAAATAAATACCCTTTAGCCCAGGCCTGCACAACATGCAGCCCACCAAGCAGCCTTATACATCCTGCCAGCATTTTTTGAAAACTCAATAAATCTGCTGCCACCAAACATCGCCCCTTCGAGGGAAGAGCTGCCACCACCCCAAAGACACACTGCCAAGCACCTCCAGGCCTGTAGAGGCTATAGGAAATGGCCTTGAAAGACAGGAGGAATTGCTGCTACCAAGGCAATGGTCAGATAAGCAGGGCTTGAGCCCATTCCAAGAAACTAATTTGAGAAAATATCTCAGGCCCCTCCCTAGTTCACACAACAATAAAGTGAAGGAGGGGGGAAGCACATTCAGATTTTCAAGATTCTGTTATCATAGCTGTTACAATAAAAGTACTGTAATTCTGACCTACATGGTATTGATTTCTTAGTCTGGTCTACCCTATAGAGCTGACAAGGCCTTACCAAACTGCCAGCTCCACCGCTGCTGCCGTGCTGCTAACAGCCAAAGAGCTGACTGGCACACCAGCTCTTTCTTTGTGGCCCACAATTATTTTTAATTTATCAATGTGCCCCTTTCCCCTCTGCAAGTCGTGCAAGCCTGTTTGAGCCTATTAATTCAGTGGAAGACTATATATCTAGGATATTCAAGCATTTGCTTCGAACTGTACATCATATCAGATTCAGTAGTACCACTGCTGGTATGGCTATATGCCGTACCCGAGCAGTGCTGTCAACTTCTTTCTCTTTTAGATGGACTGATCTGGCAGTAGCAAGATAGCAACACATTTGCAGTAGGAAGTAAGTAATGACTTTGCTCTGACTGATGACATATGAGGTTTACTATCATGCCTTGTAGAAGGCCTGAGTAGTCTCATTGGCCCCTGCTAGAGGAGGCAGTAACAGTGTAACCCTAAACCAGGCCAGAAGCTTGTTATTCAGAGGGGTAGACATTGGGGCCACTGTGCCAAAGGGGCCCTCAAATCTGCTGCAAGCAAAATATTTTACTGATTTATAAAATGTAGCCAGCTATGAAATTTAACTGATATACTGTATGTACCTTCGACTTTATATTTTACTTCTACTGAAGAGCAGCTACCAAGGATAATAATAGGCATTTCATACTGTATCTACTTTTCCTTATTATTTTACGAAACAGTTTTTCAGTCACAAAAGTTGCCATATTTGAAACTCAAATGGTAGATCTGCCTTCCCCAACCTAGTGCCTCTCCTATGTTTCCAACTAAATTCCTCTCACCCCAGTGAAAAACAGAATGTGGACTTCGGCAGTTTTGTGAAGTATGTTCCAATATTTCATCCCTTCATACATTTTTATATTGATATTCTGCCATCACTTTTGCTGTATCTCTAGCTATTGCTATATATTTGTTGCTGTGTAATCCTCTTAGAATCTGATAAATTGTTAGCACATCCAGGAGTTGTCCTTGCTTTTTCTGCAAAGAAAGCAAGCACAGTTTCTGTGGTTGCTGATCGTTTATCTAAGCACATTCCTTTTCATTTTTTCCCCAGAGAACCTGGTGACTCTATAATTAAATTTCAGCATCTGAACCCTTACAATAAATTTAAAAAAGTGATCCCAGCACAAATGAACAGTTTGAATAGATTATTTGTATCCTTAACCACATTCTAATTATGCCTTAATCATAGAGACTTTGTCTCATGCTCTTATCCCTTGCACCATGTTTAAATAAACACATTAATCATGTGCTGTCAAGCTATTCTTCTTGCCCTGAGATTAGAGCATAGATGCACAAGAATCCATAATCTTAACAAATCCATAATTGTAAAGTCAATTAATGCTTTAATTGAGAGATACTAGGGTCATGATTTATTTTACAGTCAGCTGCTGATTGGGGTACACTCGCTCAAGTGAACCATATTGTTGCCAAGAAAACAACATGGAGGTGTCCATGTAGTCACCAGCAGTTGAGCTCTTGCAGGAAACTTAACTTTTAATGGGTTAAAAGTGAAGAAAGCTATGAAGCTTGCCTCTGAGATTCAGACTCGTAAGAAAGGCAATGAACATGCTCAAGAGCATAAAAATAAAAGTGGCATTATTTAGAGATAACTTATTTTAACTGCAAGAATATGGGCACTCTCTATAGCAGCAAAGAGAGCTTTTGTATCTATTTGTTGCCATTTAGCGGTTATCCAGATTTGTAGCCCAGATATAATAGTCCTAGCATTCTTACTTCATACACTGAAGATCTACAATGGGGTGTATCAAGTATAACATATATGCCACATACAAAAAGAGAGTTGCAAAAGCAAAGAGTTGGGGTGGGGGTTGTATGTCCAATCTTCTTCTCAGTACAGGAAATCCAGGCCAAGAACAATCCCAAGAAATGGCTGGCTGGTGTGTGCTAAAATCATTTTATCCAGCGGTTAATATTATCATAACAAGATCCTGAAGACAGCACAATTGTCTGTGACAACTTTAAATAGGAATATGTTTTCACTAGATGTACTCATTATTGTTGAGAAAGTAATGTTTTATTTTATTTCACCAAAATATTATATTCAGTTTGCTAACATATCTTCTTTCAGAATCACTTTGGTATGACTATTACTGGATAAATCAAAATTATAGTTTACAACTATTCAGAATCAGCTTCAGCCATGTATGTAGGTAAGATCTGTAATAGTCAGGTGTAACAACCTTCTTCATATAATAGCCCCACTTCATATAATAGCCCCACTTATCACAAGACTGAAATTTTGAGGGAGAGCAAGTAAGACATGTCTCATATGTAGCAGAAAAACACAAAGACATAACAAATGAGCAATAAAGATTCTGA